ATTTCATTTGTAAGTACATAAATTTACATTATTTAAGATGAGGAAATGAGGAAGCGTGTTTGTTTACATTTTAATAGGCGTACCATTGGGTTTATTCATGTTCATTAATGCATTGAATAAGATATGAGTTTATGATATTAGTAGACATTTTTATATTGTAAGTAGACGTCACCTGATTAAAAAAGATCTGTTTAGTACCTTTTTAATTTAATATTTCTCATGGATACAAATAAATTAGTGAAATGAATAAAACTCATTTATTTTTCTATCTAGGTTTCCAAATAATATTGACGATCGAACTATTTGGGTAGCAAATTTAGGAGAAAATATAAAGATTTTTTATTGTAGCATTATTTTGATACCTATTAAAAAATTAACTTGAATTCAATTATATTTAATTGTATTAATTTTAAAGCAAATAAAATTGTATTTTAATTTTTCTATAAAGACGTGATTTGTTAATAGGTAAACTCTCGTTTTTTTAAATTCTTTGAACGTGTTTTTATACATTATTACTACTTCCAATTTTTAAAATCTGAATAATTACCCGCGAGTAAATATTCAAGCACGTTTATGCTTATTGCGGAAGCATCACATTCTATCGAAGCTTCAAAACATTGTGTGTTAAAGGTATCTTATTGCTGTGTCCATCTATGTTTATACGTCCATGGGCCGACCAATCAATAATATACGGTTTGCCGACCACACTATTTTATTAGCGGAATGTCTTGAGGATTTACAACAAATTGTTGACAGAGTGGTAGAAGTCAGTGAAGTAAACGGACTGTCCCTAAACACAAAAAGACACAATTTATGGTAATTACAAAAGCCCAACAGCGCCAAGAATGCATAACAATACATGGAGAACAAATCAAAAAAGTTGAAAAATATAATTATGTGGGTACAATAATTAACGAAAATAATGAGTACACAGAAGAGATTAAGGCAAGAATAGGACAGGCAAGAAATTCTTTCAAAAAACTGAAAAAAAGTACTCTGCAGCAGAGACATTTCAATTTCTTAATTATTTATTATATTAAATTTCAAAATTATTTTATGGGTTGGAGGCTTGGACATTAAAGAAAGATGTTTCGGACAGATCAGAAGTCTTCGAGTTATGAGCCTACAAATATTAAGAATAAGTTGGGTGAATAAGTATCGAAAGTGCGAATTGCCATTCTTAGAGGAGATGGCAAATGAAGAAGAAGAAGATCCACCGGTCAATCCGAAAATACGTAAGAGAAACAAGAGAAATAATTAAAATAATTCAAGAAAACAAAAGTTTCAAAGTTTTGAGGCGAAATATATAACAACACAGGCAACAAAAATATGTACAAAACAAAAAAAGAGATGGAAACATTACTACTGATAGAACCAAAATCCTTGAGGTTGTCGAATCCTTATATTGCGAAATATATGAGAGCACCGACGAAAGGCAAGATCAGCCCCTGTCCAAAATCACAAATCAGGGATCAAAATTAATGCCAGAAATAACTCCATACGAAATCAAAACATCACTTTTAGAAATTAAAAATAACAAATCCCCTGGTGATGACGGATCGTCAAACTAGGTGGAAATAAAATTATCCAGGCTTTGGCCAAGCTTTTTACCCATGGACGTATAAACACAGATGGACTCAGTTATTTACATAAAATTGTGAAGTCAAAATTATTTGAATAGGTCACATTCTCAGTACCTTCAACTGTTGTCACGTTTTGTTTTAAAATTTCTTATTCGCGAGTCGCTGAAAATATTACTCCGTATTTTATACTCTACAGGTGCTATCAAACTCAAATAATAATTTATTGGTTAGATTAATATACTTTCATTTTAATCAAAATATAAAGTGTGCACATAGTGTGCATTATCATTTAATAATAGCGTATAATAGATATCAATCAATTATTTTATGTGTAGAAGCACTGAAAACCATTTATAAATGGCAACGGTTGTTTACATTTCTCTGTCTTATGGATCTACGTCAAACTTCAAATGCTGTTCCATGTTTGTTTACTTTTTAGTAAAAGTTGTTTTTCGATATTTTGGCTGTATTTTGAGTGATATTTGTGAAAAGTGAAATAATATAAACGAAATATTTACACCCCGATCTCTCATTTCATTTGTAAGTACATACAATTTACATTATTTAAGATGAGGAAATGAGGAAGCGTGTTTGTTTACATTTTAATAGGCGTACCATTAGGTTTATTCATGTTCATTAATGTATTAAATAAGATATAAGTTCATGAAATTAGTAGACAGTTTTAAATTGTAAGTAGACAGCAAGTAAGTTGTTATTGCGTTGGTGTTTCTTTTTATTTATAATAAATGACAAAAAAGATACACAAAACCTAAATAAAATATATTTCAATCTGATTTAAACAATAACAATATAACATCATAAAAAGCTCTTAAAGTCATAACATATCTCCACCTTACCTTTTTCAAAAACATCAACGATACGCCCATATAAAAATAATTATATACTAATGACAGTAAACATTGAGATCAACTTTTATATGTCAGTTCGTTAATGTCTGTGTCACGTTTTACGTTTCGGTAAGTCATATATATATATATATATATATATATATTATATATATATATATATATATATATATATATATATGTATATATATATATATATATATACATATTTTACAATATCTGTTTGTCCTTATATTTATACACATTTTAGAATCTTGACAAAGGCAAGGGTTTCCTGCCGAAACGTTGATTAATTGCAATGGAAAATAAAATCTAGTTCCACATGTAACATATCTTTATTGAACCTAACCCAAGAAATATTAATTTTACATTAAATATAATACGGTTCAAGAAACTCAAAACTACAATATATATATATATATATATATATATATATATATATATATATATATATATATATCCGGTTTTTTAGGCGTTACGCCCGTCCAGTAGGGATCTATGGAGGAGTATCACCGAGCCACAAGCCCTTATCTCTCCACCATACTGCTCCACCATAGGCCGATCAGATCCCAGCATATCCTAGTCTAAGCCGCAGATTCATCTAGAATTTTAAACTACTGCGTTAGACTTTTTGTTTTCTGTACACCGAGCTGGGGCTCGATCCCACATCCACTGAACCATTCGACAGTGAAGCGAATGAGAGGCAGCCGCACAGGCCGCTGAGCTATCTGATCGACATTTTTAAAATAACAAGCTATAAATAAGCACTAAAATTTCAACTTAAACAGTATTCGCTCACAATGTTCAAGAATTGTTATTAACACGGAAACCGATTTGCGACAATATCGTACAACGACTATATGTCAAAAATCCTTCGATGACACAAATTTAGGAAACAAACTGTCACAGTTAATGTAAAGAAAACAATAATAAAGGTGGTGGGGTTAATTTTGTTGGTGAGTTAAATCGTCTGTATTGATGAAAAACATGGCTAGTTGTTAAACTACCTAACTTTTGTATTATCCAACATAAGCGAATGAATCAAAAAACAAAATGTTGAGAAAACATGAGGCTATAGTTAGGTTTTAATCTCCATATTTTATAAATGCTAGAATATTCTACAGGGTGATGCAAACTTTAAGAAAAAACTGTTTGATTCATACACCCGGTATACAATGAAAATTTACCTGTTTAGCAACCATATTATTAAAACTATATTGTCAAGGAATAAGGCTATAACATAATATTAAAAAATTACTTAAATCGAACAACAGGTTTAGGAGATATGACATCAAATATTACCCATTTTATGGGGTAGTTTTCACCCTTAATAATAAATTTTTAAAGGGTTTAACTAGTCAACAATTATAATTAGAGTATAGACAATCATTACTTAATTCATCTGAACAAAAATTTACTCTTTTTTGGTAATAAGACCAAAAAATAGGGTCAAATACGACCCTTAAAAAGTAAAAAGCACCCGTCGGTACAATATAGATTCTGAAGTAGAGAGTAAGTTGAATTTAGTCCCAAATTTTGATGCAAATTATTGTTTTCTGAAAAATTTGCGAGGTTGTGTCCTATTTTAAGCTTCGTTTCCTGGACTATAACTCTTATGGTCTACATTAGTATATTGTTTACCGGGTAGGAAAAGCTTAACATTCCTGGACGACTGTGAAGATTGCTAAGTCGAGGCGCAAGCCGAGACTTAGCAACACAGAGTCCAGGAATGTGGCTTTTCTTACGAGGTAAACATACTATTTTTCCGCAAATCGTTTAAAATTCGACAGATATTGATTGATTTAAAAAAAACGCGATAATTTTATTCCCAAATAAATGGTGCTTTGAAATTCCTAATAAAATTACTTGGGTTACTATGGAAACGTATTGAGGTTGAATTGTCAAACTTGACGCTTATAAATTTAATTGCTGGTGTTCTCGAAAGTAAAATGATAAGTGATGATGAAATTTCCATTCCTGGGACTCCTCCAGAGCTTGATGTTTTCAAAATATCAATTAATTCCTTATAAGCAATGTGTTTTCTATCATTTATGTAGAACACTAACAACTGTACGGAAATATCATTTCCTTACAGTAAGGAAATGACATCACAGATCATAGTGGTCTGTGAATGACATTTTCTTACAGTAAGGAAGTCCTGACTTTTTCTTCAAGAAATTTTGACAGGAATGTCAAAATTTCCTGGCGATTTGCGGAAAAATATTTTGTCAGTATTGACTCATGATGCATACACTTATGATGCATAAACTGTAATAAAGACTCGACAGGTAGTTAAAGCAATTAGACGTTCAACAAAGTCTCCTTTAATAAAATCAGTAAGAGTAAAGACCTAAAGAAACCAAACATAGTGTAGGAAAATTACTAATTGGATAGATTGATGATCTTAAAATAATCACAAAAGCAGCAATCATCGAATTATTTGTTTTTATTCATAATTAAGTATAATCAAGAAAAATAATGCTTTTTAAGTTGTCATTAATTTCGTTTAATACACTATTCAAACTATAGAAAAAATATATAAGTACATTACCACACTTGTAATCTCCCAGAGAAATCACCGGTAGCTAAATGTCTATTTCTTAAACTCGATGCTTCAAACGTACCACACTTAAAATGTTCTTTTTTGCCAAATTCATGTACTTTCTCAACATTCTCACTAGTTAACGAATATACTTCAATAATACCAGATCCATTCGATTTTCCTCCAAGTGTCACAAACTTAGCGGAACAAGGTATCCATTTAACATCATGAACTGAATAATCCACATTTTTCTGATTATGGCAAATGATCTGAGGTCTTTGTAAAGCCTCCATTAAAAATATAGTTAATGCGTTATTATGACGGATGGAATATAGGTATCAGTCAAAATATTGATATAACAAACTTGTTGTTATGGAGATTTTCGATAAAGCTTTCACCAAATAATTTATTTGGTATTTTTTTATCGTGAATTTTCAGTACAAAATTAATGTAAAATCCTGGATAAAAGTATTTAGTACGACGCATGTTTTTTATCATCGTTATCGTTTGGAAGGCGGTGTCATCACTTGTATTGCGTTTCCATTCCAAGAACAACTAAGACACTACGCGATCTTCGGTCTAGGCGCAAACCTGCCGCAAACAACCCGTGTTGACAGGACGCATTTGCGCAGCGGGCGTAATTCGCAGCCTGGGAAACCCAAGCAAAGACAGATCTCATACCCATTAAGGAATCCGTATCAAAATGAATGAAGTTTGACGAAGATTTCCCCGCGGGTTGTAAATTCTGGGATCTCTGAATGATAACAAGACTACCCAACAAGCACCGATTGTGGGTATAGTAGGGGGTATGAAGGGTTTAGCCAACGCCCAGAAGGAACTCTATCCTATTCTGGCAGAACCAATGCCCTGCGAGTCCGTCTCCAGATGACAGTAGCTGGCTGCCAAAGCGTGGGCTCCACCCTCTCCTCAGTACCTCTGTTGCTACACGAACACCTACCCGGTAGCTCTGTGAGGACAAACAAGTGAACGCGGGTGGATATAACGGCCCACTTCGCATGTTTGATGAGTCACCGCTGAGAAATCTTTTCATCTACCAGTAGTCTCTAAAGTGAGGTACATCCTACAAACTACACGTCCAGCTTGGGGCTGGTCGTATTGAATTTGCTGTTCTCCCCACAGAGTTTATGTGAAATGAAAGTAGAGTGGTCCCTCGTGAGCTCGTCTCGGATATTAAGAACGCAGTCCATTCACCAGTGCGTCAAATGGACTCACGGTCACGGCCACGTTACTGTGCATTACGTAAAAACGTCAGACAGGTCGCGCCCTGAGTCTGTTGCTGCGAACTCGACGCCTCAAACGACGGCTTAACACTTCTCATTGCTTCTTATATGATAATTTAATCGGCAAAGAAGACGAACTTGTCGTTTTATTAACGAATTTTATTATAGCGAATTATGCCAATAATTTTGTAGCTATTATTGGGCTATTATTGGGCATCCATTAGCAATAACACAAATCACCTACGGTCTATGAGCAATAGGTACTTATGTCATTTTGTCCAAAGAATGTGGACCAAGTGGATTATGATTGATCTCAGTCAAAGTATTCTTGTTTTTTTTTCTATAGATTTTTTGCTAAAAATGTTTATTAGTGTCGATAATTTAAAGGCCAAAGATGATTGATATACACATTTCCCCTAATAGGTGTTCAATCAATCAGTAAGCACTGCATGCGTACTGCTATAGAATATCTGTGGGAAATTGACACTGAACATGCAGATTATAGGGTAGTTAGCTATTACTACTTACAATAAATCTTTATGGTATTTCAGAGATAAATATAAGAATGATGCAATATATTGCTAGCCCAAAATGAAGAGAGTCTACAAATACTAGTCCACAGATTCAACACAAAAGCAGAATAGTTAATATGAAAATTTCAACTCTGAAAACCAAAGCAATAGTAATCGGTCAAAAACCAACCAGATTTAAATTACAAATCGATGGCGTCACATCGTACAACAATGTTGATGATGATGATGAACAATGATGATGAACAAGTAATGGAAATAAAATACCTTAAGGATTACACTGTCAAGCTATGGAGACCTTGAGGGAAAGGTGAGATGTCAAGTACAAAAAGCAAATATAGATACTGGCAGGATGCCTTAACAACACTGTATTGCAAAACCGAAATATTTAACACAGATGAAATCAGAAATGTATAAGGTTCTGAAACTGTTTTCTTGTGGCATGTTCAAGTTAAATAATGTGTTTATTTTATATGGGATTAAGTCACGATTATTGACTGAAAATTAATCTATCGATTTAACATATATCAAAAATTTATACAGCCAGTAAAATTACATTATAATATTAAACAGCAAAAGGAATGGAATGCTCACATAAGTAGAATGGGGAGACTAGACTAGGGGGACTCAAAATAGCAAGAGAAAAAATCATCAAACGATAGAAGTATCGGCTGATCGCGGAAAAGATCGGGTATCAAAAAATATCACTTTGCAATATACAATCTATAAACTTATAAACCATAATGTCGTGGTACCTACTAATAGTACGTAGTATAGTTTTGAATTAAGTTTTCCCTTTAATAATGGGTACCTTAATCTCAGCATACAGTAGCGCACCCAGGGGGGGTTTTGGGGGTTACCCCCCCCCCCATGGCCCAATTCCAACACTGTTACCATACATTTTATATAATATATCAATCAGTTTATAACGTTCTACGCCGTCTTCTGATTTCCAGTCTCCATTTATCTCGGTCGTTCCAGAGGTTTTCTTCAAATCCCTTCTCTCTTAAGTCTTTATCGATTCCTTCTCTCCAACTTAATCTGGGTCTACCTTGCTTTCTTCTTCCATGCGGTGTCCAGTTCAATACTTTCGTTGGTATTCTACCATACATTTTAAGGACTCAAAATAGAGGTCATCATCATCATCATTCAGCCCATACTCGTCCACTGCTGAACATAGGCCTCCCGTAGTTCACCCCACAAATTTCTGTCCTGAGCCGCCTGCATCCAATTTTGGTGTGTCCGTTTCAGGTCATCCGTCCATCTTGTTGGTGGTCGTCCTCTATTCCTAAAGGCATCTTGTCTGGGTCTCCACTCAAGATTGCGTTTTGTCCATCTGCCGTCCTTCGTTCTCGCGACGTGTGTAAAAGAATGGGGAATGAGAGCGTTATATGAGGGTAATGGAAACGCTGTCACCAAATGAAATACACAATAGATCCTCAAGGGATGCTAACCCTGCGAGCGGCTGCAAGGAATACTGGTCACACTGGTCTGGAGGGCTGGCTCGTCTTCGTGGATTTACGAGAAGATAAGGGATTTCGGGATAGGGGTAAGAACTCCTCGGTCTCAGGTCCTGTAAAGAGTAGAGGTTATGGGCTTACTTTTGAAGCCGGAGATAGGTATACGCAGAATTCTCGTGTTCTCCTAGTCTCTAGTGAGTCGGACGAAGGAACATTAAAAAAAAAACCATATTAGAGTCAACAATATATTGAATCTACCCTGAAGTTCCTAATACAATCGTTAACACGTTATTCTGCGCGTCGGGAGACGATGTAGCAAGATAGTGAAAAGTTGACAGAGGTACTAATATAATTACACAGGTTAGTATAAGAAATCTGTTACCTTATGTGTATGTTAGGGCTTCAACCACGACACGTTCAGTCTTCTGGAACTCGGTCAGTTGAGGGTTGCGAACTTTCGAGCTGCCACAATAACCGGACTACACGCGAATTCTGACAGAAGATACCCGGCCCCCGGAAAATCACCGACTGTCTCGCGTACTGGACGCTATCGCGTCCGGCGATCACTGCCCTGGGCGGCAGTTACGGCGCCCCCGTTATTACTACTGACTGACTGACTACCAACTACCGACTACCCGACGTCCGTCGTTTCTTCTTGTTTTATTGTGGTCGTACTTTCAACACCGGTTCTAGTACCAAGGTCGTAGGTTCGCTGAGTTGCAGTTTTGGCGTTATTGCTTCTATTTGGGTCACGGGTGTTTCGTGCTTTTTATACGTTTAAAACAATTATCAAACAATGCCATAACTAGGTCAATTGTTATACTTTGTATAATTTAAATGTATAAGTTAACTGTATTAATTATCCCTTATTTAATTCGGAATATATAATAATTATCTCGAATAATTATTATCTTTTCTATGCTACTTCCTTTATTCCAACTTCTCACTCACTTGCTACGCTCACATTACACGTGCCCTGCCCAGTTCCATTTTAAGGTTGATATTCTTTTGATTGCGTCGGTTACTCCCGATCTACGGCGCAATTCTGTGTTGGGTATTCGGTCTCTCAGGGTTAATCCCAACATGGACCGTTCCATTGCCCTCTGTGTTGTTCGAATTTTGTTTGCGGACGTCTTAGTAAGTGTTAGCGTCTCCGCACCATAGGTTAGAACCGGCAGCACACATTGATCGAAGACTTTTCTTTTCAAGCAGATGGGAAGAGCTGATTGGAAAACATCTCTTAGCTTTCCATAAGCTGCCCATGTCAACCCTATTCTACGTATTAGTTCATTGGTCTGGTTATCTCTACTTAAGCGAATTTCGTGTCCCAGATATTTGTATGCTGATGTTTGTTATATACTTGTTCCAGCTATGTTGATGTTCTCACTCAGAACAAGGTTTGTCATCACTTGTGTTTTTGAGTTATTGATCTTTAAACCCACTTGTGTAGAGGCATGGTAGAGTCTTTCGCACATTTCGATGGCATGATCTATGCGGTCTGTTATCAGGACTATATCGTCCTCGAACCTGAGGTGACTAAGCTGCTCTCCATTTATGTTTATGCCCTTTTCGTCTAGGTTTGCACGCTTACACATGTATTCCAATAATGTTGTAAACAGTTTTGGTGAAATGGTGTCGCCCTGGCGAACTCCACGATGAATGTTGAACTTGTGTGTATCTTCATGGAATCTGACGCATGCCGTGGCATTATCATAGATATTTTTGATGACAGTGGTGTAGCGGTGATCTATTCGGCACTCTTTTAAAGCTTCTAGCATTTTCTGGTGGTTTACTGTGTCGAATGCTTTCTCATAATCCACAAATATTATTATCATAAAAAAAATTTTAGTGTTCAACCAAACCCCCCTAGAGGAAAATTGTAGGTGCGCTACCGTCAGAATATTTCTGTGCCTTAATAGGTATTTAGAAATTCTCATCGAGTTAGAATCTAACTCGATGGAAATTCTAAATAGATCTAAACTTTTTGTTTTTATCGATTCTTAAAATACCACTTTCAATATTTTATTATTCTTAGGTCAACAAAGAATATTTTGATTTTATTTTAAATTATCTTGAGTTACTTGTATCGTATATATTTTTTTAACATGTACATAATTTTAATAAAATTTCTATATTTAGCTTTTTGGCTTCTTTAGCATATTTTAATCTTTGTTAGACTGTACTGTATTTTCTTTTCAAACTTCACTCACCTACACCACCGCCACCGAACAACACCGCCTTCACTGCTGACTTGCTGAGATTGTCAAATGTCAATATCAATAATAGTAAAAACAGCTGTTACTATGAGCATAGTGTATTCTCATTCAATGAAATAAAAAAATATATATAATAAAATATAGGCTGCAAAGTACAATACTTAAACTTTAATAAGAGAAACCTAAATTTGTTGTGCCTAAGTATTTATAAAAAAATGGCACAGTGGATTGGATACATGGTTTCTATTAAGTGTTCCGACGACAGTACTTATCAGGGAGAAATTCTTACAGCAACTACAACACATATTACCTTAACAAAAGCCTTTTGCAACGGATTTCCTTGTGAACGGAATGAAGTTAAAATCAGGTAAAATACCTTTATCATATGGTTCTACACTATTGAAGAATGTGTTAATATAAATGTAAAGTGCTTTCTAAGCTGATCTAGGCATCCAGCTTATTTCATGATATTTCTTAGTTTTCATCATACTTACAGCTTTAGATTTTCACCTTCTCAAGTTTTTCTGTATTGCAAGCATGGATGTTCTTTTTCATTATGTTTCACTTTCTGAATAGGTACTTAAGCATTGTTGTGCTAAATATGTCTTTCTATTTTCCATACCGTTGAAAAACTTTTCCACATATGTTAAAAAAGTAGCAAAAAGGATTTAAATATGTATTAGATAGATTCAATGAGGTGGATTTTTTAACTATTCCACTGCAAACTTTTCAGTCTGTTGTGGTTCTCTAGCCCTAGATTACATTCTGTAGGCTGACCCATTTTAAAAGGTCTAATAACTTCGAGACTGAACTCATTCTAGGTGACAGAATCTGTATAGGTCATCATCTGGTCTCTCTATCACATTCTGTTTTATTTTTTGACATTTCTACTTCTCTCCCTGTGATTATTTCTTCTGTTGGTAGGGATCTGGCATTATATGTAGCCAAGCTGAGCTTTAAGGGTGTTCTAAATTTGGTCTGTTTATTTGTCATAATTTTGTCACCTGCCTTCCCCACCACAGGACAGACTAGTAGTACAAAACCATAGCTGGATAACGAAACTCATCAAAATATTAGAACTTGACAGATTTTTTGTATTTGTATTAAACTTTGATGAATTGTTTCTCCACCTGTTTTAACACAATGTTTCAATAATTTTAGAGCAAACAGTATATTAGATCTTAAATTAATTGAAAAACAAAAGGATAATGTGGATGAACGCAGTACAATTACTATAGCAAAACCCATTGCCAAAAGAGCTGGAAGGACACACAGTACTTCAGAACCTCATAGTTCTGGAAATAAATTTGCAGCAAGCACTAGTTTACATAATAGGTCGAAACCAATAGACATTGAGGTAATTATGACTTGGAATAAGTTTAAGCACAAGATGAATATATAGTCAAAATTCTTATTTGGTGCAATATTGAAACCACTACTTTCAGCTAATCTAACATTTATAACAAATATTAAAATGGTATTACAAATTCTTGATCTGGCAGAATGGATTTATGTTTGTTTCACGGATGTATGTTTGGTATATTTATTTAATTCAATTATTTGACACTATTATTTATTTAACAGTTCAACTTATTCTCCTGTTGGTGGGAAACGTAAATAAACTTTTCAGTCAGATCCTACTTCTCATAATCAATATATTGTTCCGTTATATAAGTGAAATATGCTTGTCAAGGGCACAACTAAGCTTTTATTCAATTTTGTGGAACACACTTGTCAGATTAATAAAAAAACCATTCAAATATTTCAAAATAAAATATTAGAGTACTACATAACGTTGTCATAGATACATTTGTATACATACATACAAATTAATGTTCTACAACTATATCGTTATTATTTTCTTTGGTCTTTATGCCAATGTAGACTTCCCTAATTATATTTCTTCATATTTGTATCTTGATTCCATGGACTTGCATGGACTCAGCAACTCTTCGCCCAGGGTAGTATTTTCATTGTATGACCAAGTAGTTTTATGACCTTTTATGAGTTTTTGTAAACAAGAACTAATATAATGCTTCTTCATTCGTCAGCCATTTTTCCCACTTCAGTAATTCTGTTAAACAAATCTGTTAAATATCAGAAAATTTTCCTTTTTTTTCAGTTTTAGAGAATTAAACAATTAATTTTGTTAAATTATTCATTCAATTCCCCAAAGTATTTTTCCATTCCTTATTGACATCCTCTTCATGATTTAGTGTTTTATTTTTTTGTTTCCGACACATCTAATCAGATTAGGATATCTGAAACACAATTTAAATCACAACTCAGCCAAAAAAATAACCAATTTAGGAAGTGGTTTAGGCGACTTACAGCTAGTTGTTGCAAATAAAACCCTACCAGGAGTTAAAATGCTAGAAAACCTGAATAAATACACATCTTCTAAAATCTTCTCTATTGAAAACCAAAAACTGGCCAGATTACATCGTCTTTGTTACCGAATTTGCTCTGTCTTTATGTTTTACCAGAATTTTTCACCATGCTCCTCACTGACAACATCCAAATTCTTATGAATATAATGATAAATGAGAATGAAAAAAGTTAATTTTTCAATCCTTAATACGAAAGGACTGTCTTGTATTTTTTTATCTTTCATTCTTAGCATCCTATGTTCTTGTTCTGCTGTTTCTGTTAGCTTGTATTTGGGGTCTACATTCCAAAATTCTTTTTGTCCACCGGTCATCAACTGATCTTGCTACATGACCTGCCCAGTTCCACTTTAGTGTTGTCCTTTCAATAACGTCGGCTACTCACTATAGATTATTATATACTTGTTTTCCTTATTTATAATGCAAGGTGCAAGTGCCCACCTATCTAATTTCTTGCAGGATTTTTACATGCATTTTATACTTGTCTAGGTCATTGAGCAGATTTTGGTGATCTTATAGTATTTATAGGGATTGGATATTACATGTCGCAATCCTTAAATCCTATATCTTTGCTGGTACTTACTTACTTTCCGTGTCCGGAACACCAACAGCTTTAAATTTTGTATTTCCATGTGGGATACAGCAAATTGTGTCCATCAGCCATTTCCTCTGAGGGGGCAAAATGTCTAGTAGCTGACGCTGGCCATAGGTATATCATACAAGGTGTGTCTTCGATCCGTCTTCTGCTACTTTCGTTCTATCTCTGACGTGACCTCTCTTCTAATAGCAAGTGTCTTCAGGCAACCAGATATTATATGAACCGTTTCATTTAAAGCAACATCGACGTTTTTAGCGTGAACAGAGTTTTCCCACACTGGTGCTGGTGCTCCAAACTCGGCGGTAGCAAAGCATAATGCTAAGGCAGAAGTACAGAGAGTGTGTGGTTGTGTTCTCCATTTTGTATTTGTTAGTTTGCGGATGATATTATTTCTGGCGCTTACTTTTTTCTTGGCATCTTGACAGTGATATCGATAAGACGGAGTTTCAGTGTCCTTCGGGCATGCTTGTTTCTAAGGTCAAAAGCACAAACCTGGGTTTTTGTAGGATTGGGTTTCAGATGGTTTTCGTCATAGTATAGTGCTAAGTTTCCTAGGGCATCTGTCAGTTTTACTTCGACTTCATTGAAGGTACTTCCCTGAGCTGCCACGGCTGTATCATCCGCGTAAATAAACTTGTTTGTTTGTTGGTTTTTGGGTTGGTCGTTGGTGTAAATGTTTGTAGCATCGGTGCGAGGACACTTCCCTGTGGGACTCCATTTTTTTGATGCCCCAAAATTCTTTGTAATTTCGTAGAGTCTTACAAGCAGCCATTAATGGTTAACTGTGTCATAGGCGGCAGTCAGGTCTATGAACGCTACTCCTGTTATTTCTTTCCGTTCAAACCCATCTTCAGTATGTTGGGTGAGATTAAGAGTTTGACTGCAGCAGCATTTTTCGGTTCTAAAGCCTGCTTGTTCAGGAAAGGATGACACAAAAGATAAACAGCTCTAAAACTCTTTGTATCCGCCGGATCCTTTCCTGGTTTTAAGAGGGCCACCACTCTAGCTTTCCTCCAGATTTTGGGGATTTGGAATGTACGGACGCAACAGTTCACCATTTTTACGAGCCACTCTGAGTTTTTTGGTCCCTACATCTTTGCTGGTGTAGTAGTCGTAATTTGATTATTCCGGTTTCTTTTCTTAATCGTAACACCAGATTTTTTATTGGGTGAAACTACGACCAATCCCTAACCTGGGAGATCGGGGACTTTTCTGTTATTGCTGTACTTTAGTCTGTGGGATCCAAATTTAAGACGAGGAAACTCGCCTTCACTCGTCTAATGACAAGCACGATTTGTTAGTACTGTCAATGTATGTCGACTAAGACGTTGCTTGGTATTTAATGGCAGCAGCCGCTTAGCATAGCCACTGCTACCAAGGGTCATCCACTAACTGTTCCTTCTCCTTTTTTCTCATCAGGACTTGTTACCGGGAATGGTGGAATTATTAGAAACGTATTGTCAAAACGTATGTCAAAATATTATATTTACTTACTTACTTACTTACTCCGTGGCGTTACAATCCTTAGTGGGTTTTAGCGGACTCGACAACATGCCTCCACTGTTTTATGTCTCAAGCAACTTCCATCCAATTTTCCACGCCCATAGTGCTTAGGTCTCCTGCTACATTATCTCGCCACCGGAGACGAGGGCGTCCGCGTAGTTTCCTTTCAGTTGGGACTTCCTCCCACACCAGTCTTACAGTTCGTTCGTCAGAATGTCGTCTGAGGTGTCCTGCCCATTGGAGTCTTCTGGACTTTATTTCTTTTATGATGTTGGCGTCTGGGTAAAGTTCTTCGAGCTCTTTGTTAGTTCTTATCCTATATTGTCCTGATGCTTCATCCAGTACAGGATCAAAGATCTTCCTTAGAATGTTTCGTTCCCAAACACATAGTCTCTCTTCGTTTGTCTTTGTTATTGTCCACGTTTCGCTTCCATACATCACAACGGGTCGTATGATTGTTATATAGACCTGTATGTGTATATTCGTACGTCGTGTTAGTTGTTTTGAGTTTATAAGGTTTTGGAGGGAAAAAAGACATCTGTTGCCGGCCTGAATCCTTGTTTATTTCTTGTGATCCGTTATTGTCTTCAGTTATTGTTGTTCCAAGATACTTGAATTCTCTAACGCGCTCAAAGTTAAAGTCATCGATGGTGATGTTCTGACCGATTCTGTCTCTGCTTTGGTTATTGCGGCTCATAAACATATTTCGTCTTGTTTTTGTTGATTTGGAGCCCCATCTTCTCTGCTTCCTTCTCGAACCTCACGAAAGTGTTTCTTGCGTTTACAAAATATTAAATTGTGCTACAAAAATCATGTCGATCAGTACATATTATTGCCGATTAAAAATGTAGTCCTTTTTAAAGAATTGGTGTTTACTACGTTATTAAGACTATTTAAAAATGGGAGTAATTGTGTACAAAAAAATAAGACCCAAAACAGTTTTCAGATGAAATACCTACGAAAGGGACACTGATTTTAACATATTATGTAATGGCAACCAATTGTAGAGGTTATTATAACAAGAGATGAACTCATATGAGAACTGGTTCTAGTATAATACTATAATAGCTTCAAATGAGTATGAATAGAATGGCAATTGAATAAACGTTATTATATAAAGGATAGATTTGTTAATGCATTATGGTGACAGCTTTTTTCTTGATTTTGTACTCAAACATGTTTTAATTTATTATATACAGTATTTTTTCTGTCATGTTCAACAGATAAAACAAACTCATGAGCCAGTAAATAATTCTTTTAAAAACAGCACTCCTAATAAAAAAGAAAAGAACAATAGAAAGTGGACAAAGGGTTGGAGGGATGAAGAGTGTTTTGGTTCTCCTATGGAGCAGAGCAATATCGGTAAAGACTTCGATTTTGAGAAAAATTTGGCATTGTTCAATAAACAAGCTATTTGGGACGAAATTAACGCCCAAAAACCAGATGTGGTAAAACATATCGATGCTAGAAAACCTACTAAGTACAGGTATGTATATAAAATGATATGTATTTTTAAGCATTTTCTGTTTTTTTTTCTCCATGATGAAAATATATTGAGATTATCATTCAGTGATATTTATTGTATTGGTTGTTCCAAACGTATTCCCTATGCACATTTTAACACTCAAAATGTTGAAACAGAAAATGTTAGGAAATCAATAACTAGCTTGAATTTACAGACGAATTTGGCATGATACTTTCTTTAACATTTAAATATTTCTGTAATTTTTTTTCAAACCTAATTATTGTATTGATGAACATTTTCAAGTTTCAACTCTACTTCTTCAAATATTTTTTAGGTGTATATTAAAAGATCATTGACGTAACGAAATATTGGTGTGGACCAGCTTAGTGTGCTTATTTTATATACAGGATCTTCTTCTTCTTCTTCTTCAAGTGCCATCTCCGCGGCGGAGGTCGGCAATCACCATAGTTATTCGGACTTTTGAGACGGCTGCTCTGAAAAGTTCATTTGATGTACATTCGTACCACTATCTCAGGTTGCGCAGACATGACATTATACGCCTCTCTATGCTTCTCTTTCCTTGGATATTTCCCTGCATAATCAGTTAGAACAAGGTGTATTTCTCTCCACGTCTAATATGTCCGAGATATTCTAATTTTCTTGTTTTAATTGTATTTAAAATTTCCATTTTTAGTCATCCTTCTCAGAACCTCTTTGTTTGTAACGTGTTATGTCCAGGATATTTTCAGAATTCCTCTATGCACCCACAACTCGAATGATATAGGGTGCGCCAGGCTAAATTATGGAGTATATAAAAAATGTTTATAACGAAATTGATGTATATCAAAGACTTGTATAATTCAAAATTATTTGTTGCGTTATTAGTTGTTTTTTTTTAATGGAACATTCTGTATATTAAGTCATTTTTGAATATATTTTGTTTAAGTTTAAAGAGTTTATATAAGGTTTTATTAGAAATTAAAGTTAACAATGGTCGAAATAAACGTTTATTGAGAAAAATGCTAATATTGAAAAGATGGCAATTAGGTTTTCAAGGTAATGAAACTGTAAAAATTATTGTAAAGGAAATCTTTCCAAGGTAGTCTTATTTTTCAATAATTTAGTAGTTTTGATATGTATCCGTATAATATACAGTGTGATCACTATTTTCAAATACAAAATTTTCTCATTTTTTTAATGGATCACCCTGTATATTAGTATAGCATTTTGTAGGGAACATTACATTTTTTGCTACATAGCTTTTATGTTTCTGCAGATTTTTATTTAAAAATTGTTTAGCAAAAATAATGATTATAATCTGGTTTTAGGAAGATTAAAATATTCAAGATTAAAATAAAAAAGTATTCTAGTACAACTTAGTTAAATTTAATAACTCTCTATCATGATCATCATCAACATGTATGTGTCCACTGCTGGACATAGGTCTCCCTCAGCTCTTTCTATCTGTCTCTGTCTTGTGCGGATGGCATCCAGTTATTGCTCACACGCTTCAGGTTGTCAGTCCATCTAGTTGGTTTACGTCCTCTGCTCCGTATTGCTTCTTGCCGTGGTCTCCACTCTAAAATACGTTTTGTTCATTGGTTGTCTGATAATCTGGCGACGTGTCCTTCCCAATTTCATTTTAACGACGCGATTTTTTCGATAGCGTCTGTTATTTTTGTTCTACGACGTATTTCTTCGTTTGGGATTCGGTCTCTCAGCGAGACACCCAACATATGTCGCTCCATAGCCATCTGAGTCACGCGAATCTTATTAACTACCTTTTTTGTGAGTGTTAATGTTTTCGCTCCATAAGTGAGTACAGGTAACACACATTGGTCAAAGATTTTCCCTTTGAGGTGTATGGGTAGATCCGATTTAAATACATAGTTTATTTTATCAAACGCTGCCCAGGCTAATCCTATGCGACGTAGGAGCTCACATGTCTGAATCTATGCCCAACCGAATTTCATGTCCTAGGTACTTATCCCTTCCATCAACAGCAATATTTCGATTTAGTATCAGATTAGTAATTATTTGCGTCTTGTTCATATTAATCTTTAGTCTGACCTCCAAGGAAGCGTGATATCATTTTTCAAACATTATTATTGCATCATCCTTACGATCGGCTTTAAGGACGATGTCATCTGCAAATCTCAAATGACTGAGCTTCTCCCCATTTATGTTCATACCATGCTCGTTCAGATGTGCCTTACAAGTATGTTCTAAAAGCGTCGTTAATGGCTTTGAAGAGACTGTGTCTCCTTGCCGTTGTCCTTGCTGTATACAGAATTTATTTGTTTCTTGTTCAGATAGTCTTCCGCTAGCTGTGACATTTTGGTAGATATATTTGATTATGTTAGTGTAGCGATGGATGGTCTATTCGGCATTCTGTCAATGCTTTTAACATTTTCTGATCGCTTATGGTATCGAATGCTTTCTCGTAGTCGACAAATATCAGTGACAATAGTGTGTTGTATTCTGCAGACTTCTCTATCAGGTTCGTTATCACTAGTAAGTGGTCGTTAGTGCTGTAACCCGATCTAAATCCAGCTTGTTCTTTAGGCTGATAGAACTCTAATTTAGCATGCAGTCTTTTTTTGATAATTTTTGTAAAAGTTTATAGATGTGTGAAAGCAAACTGGTAGGACGGTAGTTTTTTAAATCTGTTATGTCTCCTTGATTGTGTAATAAAGTAACGACTGCATTATTCCATTGAGAAGGAGGTTTTTCTTGGTAGGTGCATTCGGTGAAAAGCTTAATTTTATTTCCACCTAGTTTGATCGCTTCGATCACTACTCCGTCATCGCCAGGTGACTTGTAACTCATTATGTTACAAAATAATATTTACGCTACTAATAAATATAATCAAGATACATAAATCTTCTATTGATAAGATTGCTTCCAATCTTAAAAGAAACTAAACTTATTCTCGAACATCAATTCTGCTTCAGGTTAAAGCATGGGATAGAGCAGGTGCACAGAAAAGTAAAAAAAAATCTCCTTCGTGCTGGAAAGTAAATCCTACCTCTCAACAGCCTTCCTAAGCGTCAGTCAAGCCTTCGATAAGAAAGAAACAATTGCCATATCCGGTCTTTCCACTTCTAAAATTCTACCTACCAGATAGATACTTCCTGGTAAAGCAGCACGATAAATACACTCATCTCCACCCTATCAAAGCAGATGTTTCGCAAGGAAGCGTACTAGAACCTATTGACGACACCGCAATACTGGCCATGGACTCTAATTCCACAAAAGTATCAAAAAATTCACAAGAAAACCCAAATAAAATAGTACTTGGTATAGGTGGAATAGATACTTGGCAGTACCTAACCTGGCAGTTGTGTCGTTCACAACAATTCATCTTGACAAAACGACTAACCTGGCAGAAGCATCTTTACCAAAAGAAAACAACTGGGCATTAAATTTAGACATATGTACTGGTTGATTGGTCGAAACTCTAAATTAAGATTGGATAACACACTTAGATACAAGGCGATCCGCAAACCCAAATTGACATATGGTATTCAGCTATGGGGCACCGCTACCAATTCTAATCTTGCAATCCTCCAACGCTACCAGAATAAAGTGTTAAGATCTATAGTAAATAATGCTCTATGATATGTTACATCCTCCTTTATATAAAAGATCTGGAAATTCCTTCGGCAAAAGAAGTTGTAACAAGTTACAGTGTCAAATATGGTGAACGCATAAAAGTCCGCCCCAATATACTTTGAAGCGGTATTCGATGACAATAACGAAGTGCGTGGGCTGATATTCGATATTATTGAGCGCGTTTTGGAAAATTTCTTCAGAATATAAGTTAAACAAAAGTGGTGGTAAAACACATCCCTGTCTAACTTCTCTACAGATCTTCATTTCTTCTGAGTGTTGCCCATCAATTTGAACTATGGCACTTTGGTTCCAATGTTGGCACTGTATTTATGATTTTACTGTCAATGCGCTTGTTGCCCTCATCGAATTAGTGATAAACTAATAAGTTATCAGTGCCAGTCTTGCCCTTGTCACTTAACCCTATTTTTGATATTCAAAATAGATATTTTTTTGAACAATTTTTTATTTTGGAGATGGACGCAGTAATAAATGTAAGTGCCTTTATTGATGATGAAGAAGACGAGGACATAGAAAATGCGCTTCTTCTCCACATCTTGCACGACTATACGGCCGGCGCTTTAATTTAGATACTATGTCTGATATACAATGTAAAAATCTTTTTCGCTTTTGGATTAAATTTCACCTTTCTGGATGATCGTAAGTGTTCTTGCCTGCGACTTTCTTCAACAAAAACAAATCATCTTCATTGCTGAAGTGAAGTCGTTTTCTACTGGTTTCCATTATTTATAAAAATCAAAACAAATATACTTAACCACAAATGTGAAAAAATACATGCCACGTGTGCTGATGAAATGTTGATGTTAAATGTTGATATTTTGGCAATCGGGTAAGATCCCTTTGAGCAACCTAACGTATCAGCCCGTTACGTTAGGTAATACGTATCTAGATAAATTAGTTCAACCATTAATGCGCATGCTTATATGTCAAAAAGATACGTTACGTATACGTATTTGCTTGCACAAAAACTCTTTAATATCTCAATAAATTATTTGTAATTTTGTAGTCATTGTTGTATCTCGTAATATAGCTTGGTTACAAATCTTTCTCAGTGTGTCTTCTTAAAGTTTACTCCTTCGGAATGGTATGCTTTGTGGTGTAGATGTTTATACCAATTGGTTTATGCTGCGTTTGTGGTATGGAACAATACATTATTTTAGTGCATTAGTCTTTGTAATTAATTAATAATTGATGCAACAATTATCGTTTTTTGATACTGCAACTTTGTTTTAATCTAATATTTTTGGATTGGCCGTCTGCTAGTAGAACTTATCAGGGAACGTCGTCAATACTTATGATCCCGTGGTTTTTTACATTAAAATATTTAAAGGTTATATTATGTAATGATTTAATAATTAAAGAGACAAATAAATAGAGGGGCCAAATACATGTTATACATGTTTGTATATATCACGTAACTCTTTCATAAATTGAATAATTTGAAAATTAGATAACCGGGAGATTCCTTTTTGATAACCTAACCTAAAGTGTAATTAAGTGTCACTTAATATATCCATCCCTTCAATTTTATTATTAATTCACAATTTTGTATTTTCAGGCATGACGAAAATATAATCTCAACAATTCCAACTTCGTATCGGCAAATAACCGTCCCAAAACAAGATTTTTGTGAATATGTAACAGATGATGGCCTAATAATACCCAGCATTTCTAGAGCATTGAGGAAAAGACTGTGGGAAGTGGCCGAAAGAGTGGGTCTTACGTGGGAAAAGAGAATAGACCTTATAGGAAGAGCAGCTGCTGAGATCTCCATTCAATTATGTGGAGGGGGACATAGACTGAATCCACATAATACACACCAATGGCCTACGGTTGTTGTTTTATGTGGACCTCACAAGTAATTAAGATTTATATTTAAAATTTATTTGTGCCGATAATCAGGGTTTTTTTGAATTTTTTTAATCCAATAATTACATTCGAGGCAGTATTTACTTTGTGGATATAATATTAATATACATGTTAAAATAATGAGAAACTGTTACTATATTTTTAAGCAAGGAAATATGTATTTTTGATTAATGCTTGTAGACTCAATACATGAAAAAATCTGCTAACACTGTTTTAACAAAAAATTCCAGGTTACATAAATCGATTTGTTTTAGTGACGAAAGTACTTTTTCCTCAATGTTAACAAACACTGTGTTGGAATGACACAAGTCCTCACATATTTCGTGACAAACATACTCAATTTTTAGAAAAAGTAAATGTTTGGTCAGATATTTTGGGAAAAAACATAGTTGGCCTTGTTTTCCCAATGCTAACTTAAGTGTTGAAGTGTATCTGGAGATGTTACAAGCACAGTTGAGCCCTTAATTCTTGAAATTCTGGAATATAATGCAGGTGAATTCGACAATTTGGAAATAATATTACAACAAGATGGAGTAGGTGCTCCTGTGCACTTTTTTGGTGCAATAAGATGTTACCTAGTTGAGGAATATAGTAGTAGATGGACTTGATGACGAGGTTCGATAGAATGGCAATCTCACCGGACCTCACATCCTTAGATTTTTTCTGTGGTGGTACTTGAAATCTTAAGGTTTACGCTACTGCACACGACGGTATTGACATTTTGAAACAACGAATTTTTGAAGAATGTAGGGCAATTTCCACCTGACACATTTGAACGAGTTTAGCAATAGAATGCATTACTGTCAGGATATAGATGGATACCATTTTGACACTTAATATAGGAACTGGTTCTTAAATCTTTATTAATTAAATGTGAAATTACAATTTTAGTATTTATTTAATTTATTTTTCAAAATCAGCATAAAATAAAAAATAATATTATTGAATAGGTACTAAGGCGGTCCGATAAGTACTTAGCTTATAAAAAAAACAAAAATTTTGGAAAAGTTGCGATCTATTTCTCAACCTAGTTTACTTTTAGATACACTTGACCCAGCGATGTTCTAACTTCTTTAACCCGATAGAAAAATACTTTTTCTCTAGGTCTGCCAAGTAGACTTCGTGGCGGGGGTGAGCTCCAGTTTCGACTGAAATTCCTGCCCGACTAGTACCTTTTTCAAATTTAGAAACGAAAAAAAAGTCACACGGGGCCAAATCTAGAGAATATGTTGAATGGGGCAACAGTTCGTAGCCCAATTCGAATAATTTCACCATGGCGACGGCGGAGGTATGAGCCTGTCCGTTGTCAAGATGGAAGAGCCCTTTTTTCTTCGCTAAACGGAGTCTTTTTTTCTGCAATTCAGCACCAAATCGGCCCAATAATTTGGCGTAGTAGAGCCATGTGACCATTTTTTCATTCTCCAGGTAGTCGACGCAGATCACCCCTTGTGAATCCCAGAAAATGGTGGCCACCACATTTCCGGTCGAGTCTTCGTCTCCTTTGCCACGTTCGCCGGGTGTCGCCACTGTTTCGATTGTTTCTTGGTTCCTGGTATGTACCAATGGATTCATGTTTCGTCAATGGTTATGAAACGACGTAGAAACTCCTTCGAATTACGGTTAAATATCGTCAAACACTGCTCTGACGTTGTCTGACGGTTAAGCTTGTTGTCCGGAGTGAGTAACCGTGGCAATCATCACGTTGACAGCTTTCTCATGCCTAAAATTTCACGCAAGTTTTGTCACGTTATCCTCGGTGGTAGCCGATTTCGAGGCACCTAAGCGTGGCTCATTAAAAACCGACGTGTGACCAGGTTGAAACTCGTTAAACCAATTCTTGAGGGTTGTCATCGAATGATAAGAGTCACCTTACACGGAATCCAAGCGCTCTTTGATTTCGCTGCGCGATGTCCGTTGCAAAAACAAGAATCGCTAAAATCCGTCCGTTTATTTCCTCCCTTCAAATTTCACTATTATAAGTCTAACTGTTCAAAAGATACGAGGGTGAATACCTTATCTGTATTTTGAATAAAGCTAAATTATTTATTTATAATACGAAATACAGAAAAACAAAGAAAAAACGACAAAAAAATCTTTAACTCTACACTAAGCAAGTTTCTTTCATAATGCCGACTCCAACGTTTCAGTTTCTTCTTAACAACCTTCTTCAGAAACTTAATGGTAGGAAGGTTGATGGTATTTATTTTTATTTTTTTTTTTTGTGTTCATGGAGAAATTTGTTCTCCAGAGTTGAAAACTCGTGGTAAACCGGTGTAATAAAATCCAGAAGCTTTTGAATATTGTCCCACTTCAGTTTATTGATTTTTATTGGCTGAACGTTAAGGTTTTTTCAACCATATTCTCCATGCTAATAATAGGACATCCAGCTCTTTTTTATACAGTCTCCAAACCATAGCTTATGGTTTGTTAGAATAGTGAGCGACGCATAACTCACAGTCAGTCGAACGCCGCGCACGTTCGTCAAAATCAAAGGAATGGTTCTATATGGTAACAGTTTGTTAGGTTCTGCTGAGCTGAGCGCACTGCAGAGCGATAGCCAAGTACGTCGACGGTGTGCGCTGGAATCAACTGCGATTTGATTTGGACGCAAACGTTCAGCTGAATTCACAGCCTACATATCTATACCGAAATATAATTATATTTTTATATAGTTATTCTTATTGTAATAGTTATAATTAGGTATATAATTAATAGTAATAATTAGGTGATGTCTTCTTTTGTAGGCTTTTTTAGTAATATCATCCCTTATAATTTGTAAGAGTTTCAAATAAATCCCTGGAAAGTCTAAAATATTCTCAAAATGTTTCCTCGTTTTAAAACAATCTTCTTTCGACAAGCACCTTCTGTATTACGTCATGAAATAATTTCGTTTACATTTTTATTTCTTTTATTTAGATTTGACATTATCAACTGTTGTTCTTCCGTCTCTTCTTGGAGAATTAACTTATTACGTTAAGTTTGCGAGAAGTCATTTTTCTAAACGTACAACTTTTAAGAGAACAAACTTGGAACTAATTTTTAAATTTCAGCGCAACAGAATCTATGTACCTATGCCATACGACTCAACCAAAACTGCCAAAAAAACAGATTCTGCTGATTGTGTATGCCATGCGCTGCGCACTGTTCTAACAAACCGTAGCTTAAGATTGTGCCAACCCGCCTTTCACCCCTCAATTTATTATTACCATTGCAACTTCTTATCCCCTTGCACACATCGGCAACGACGCGTTGTACATTGGTTCATTCTTTATCAACGTCTGCAATTAGAATGTGACATAACTTAATTAGCTTATTAATGATCTTTAAATTGTCTTTGCCTTGTATTATTCACCCTTAAATTATAAAATATTTTCACTGTTGCGGTAAAATATGGTATTATTACATGAGGATTTTGAAATCGCTATTTAATTTTCACTAAGCTCGCGTTAATTTTACTGAAAAGATGAAGGTGAATTATTTTAATTGATTTTTTTAAGATTTTACACCAGGTTGTGTACCCTCAAAAGCAAATAGATTTGTAAAAAAAAACAATTGGAGATCAACTCCTTCCTTGTATACAACTCGTTTACTAGGCTGGATGGCATTTTATTTTAGCTTGCACCATGAATGTCAGTTTATGCCCAGAAATATGTTGTTTTAATGAACGCTTACAGACTGGCTGCATCGAAAACAGCTATATATAAGATATTCGAAGAGTACTTCGGTTTTTTACTTGAGTTGCGTTTTATTTTATTCGATCCATTCAAATTAATGACATTTTTTTCTAGCGTGCATTGTGAATGTCATTCATTTATAATAGAAATAGACAAAATTCTATCTCGACTTATTTTATATGCTTTAAGTGATGATATACAGATCAAAGAATACTGCCCCGAATGTAATATTGTCTAGTAATAAATGTGCTTTTCAAAATTTAATTCCTGTATTAGCATATTACAATACCCCATTTCTTCTGTAAATGTTCTCTCTACATAAAAACTGAACAACATTAGACAAAGTTAACATCGACGTCTAACTCTCTCTTTTTTTATTGCGAATTACTCCAGGAGAATATGCAACTATAGACCTGAAATTATTCTCATGTGAATATAGTGTAATTTTCATTATAAAGCAAATATTTATTTGTTTTTTGCTTAGTAACATCAGTAAAGATCGTAATATTATCAGAGAATTAAAAAAAAACGAGAGGATAATTCTTCTAGTCGACAAACTGGAGCAGTTATCCGTCAGTATATGGGATATTATTTTATAAAACAAATCTAATACTGGAATTAATGTATTAAAGCGTAATAAATAAATATATATGTCGTAGGAAAGCAAATTTGGCTTCACATGGCCTCATCAGACAGTGTATGATGTCTGTTATGTTCTTTGTGCTATTGGAAATGTGTAAATGAAATTAATATCTTATTTATTGTTTCAGGCAAGGAGCGATTGGAGTGAATACAGCAAGACAATTAGCTAGTCATGGTGTACAAACTATAGTATTCACAGTATCTATGGACGCGCCTATAATTAAAAAAGAACTTTCACTTTATATGTTAACCAAAAATCGTGTACTTAACAACGTCTCAGATTTGCCTCCTATTTCAGATCTGATAATAGTAGCTCTTTGTGAAGATGCTGACAATCCTAAACACTATCCATTACTATCGGATTGGGTAAATAAAAATAAAGCTCCTGTTTTTGCTTTGGACCCACCTCCAGTGGGAACACCAGGAATTACCCCGAAATGTTCATTGCTGCCAGTACTACCTCTACCACACTCTTCGAATAATGGCAAATTATATTTGTGTAACTTGGGATTTCCTGTGGATATTTTCAATGAAGTAGGGATCAAGTACAAATCACCGTTCGGCCCAAAATTTGTTATTCCTTTACATCCTAAAGATGATTGAACATTTTTATGTTGGTATAATTTAAGGATTTATTGATCCCTTTTTATATTTACACTTGATCCCTGTTTCTTCCAATTTATTATTTTTTATTAAATTTGACTACGCTTTTGAAAGATGGAACAAGATTGATCATATTGTGCAGAATATTAAATATAAATTTCAACTATGGCATTTTTATTTACATTTTAATACATTTTTAATTTTAAAACCACAAAATCATTGAAAATCATTTACTCAGTTTTGTCTACCTTTGACACGTCGTTTTTCTCAGGTATTTAAAAACTGTCCGTTTACATTCTATAGATAACTTTACATTTAGGTCATGCAAGTCTAATCCTATGAAAGTCCGTCTTGCATGCCAAATTTCTTGCCTAACCTGATGTGTTTACATCAGAGCTATTTTTGTGTCATTTTGAGATACCACTTTCCCTCTTTTAACATAACAAATATGTCAAAACATTAGCTTTAGATATTTCACTTGGAAAATTCAGTCCAGCATTAAATATGTTCAAATATAAATCACAAATTATAACATCCAATAAATAACATTTACACTTATAATAGTTACAATAACGTTTAGTTTATATTAAGTTTTATCCTAAACTATAAATTTTGTAATATTATTGCATCAAAATAGCATGAAAAATAGAACAGGTTCTAATTTTTCGTCTAGCACAGATATTGCATGGAAATGTCGTGTGGGCATGCGCAGTTGCATGGCATAAAAATTACATAATGTAAAGTCGACTTATGAAATAGGAAGCTTGATGACAAATGTCATGTATAGAATGACATTTGGAGTAATTATCAAAAAATATTCTTGATCTATTTCTAGCAAGATTCATATTGCGAAAATGATTTAAAGGGCTAAAGTAAGTATTTTTTATTAACTTTTGGTAATCGTTCACCTCTTCCAAGATTAAGAAAGTTTATGATTCCTAAAATTAAAATTAAATAGACAAAACTTCAGATTAGTGCGCTACGTAAATATTTGCGGAAAAATATAAACTTGAAAGAAATTACCTTTAAAAGTAGTAATTTTGAATTCAAATAGGAGAGGATTTATCATCCTTTTGACAAATGTAGCCTAGTAGTGCTGAATTTCAACATTTCCTCTTTCTATATTATAAAAATTGTTCTGGGATTTCTAATATTTCAGTACCTTGACAGTATGAAAAGCAAGAAGTATCTGGTCATCTGCGCGTCAATGAAAAGAAAGTTTCATGAGAGAGATAGAATAAGCTTTTCGGAATGCGATGTTGCCGTGGCAAAAATTTAATTATGAGTTCAGTATAACTCAATGTTACGAAAACAATATATGTTAAATATTATTATTTTGAACAATATTTACGCAAAGGTAGTAATTGATTTTAAATTTAAACTTATAAATCCAAAAGAAGTATAGACCTTACTTCAAATCGAAAAATTGTTATTCTTGGTCGCTACATAATCCATCTCAGGTATAAATATCAGAATCACTGCTGCGTGGTTATCCAAGTCAATTATAATTTGATCAAAAACTACATCAAGTAAAGGTTCTGTTGGCATAAAGGTATCCTCAATTGAAACGACTTTATCACATTTTTTTTATTATTCAAGAGAAAATACATCAAATAATTTCATAGCGTCATTGACTGTGAAGCTGCCATTTCTTGAGTCAACCAAATTTAGTTAGTGTAGCCTAAACCAGTGGTTAGAGACTGCGAACATCAGCAACGGAGCTTACCAACTGTTGCGAAGGGCGAACCTCAATTTCAAACAAATTTAAACAGCGACCACCAAGCCTTAAAGTTGTATTATAATATAGTTCAAGTTAGGTGTAAATAAAGTTAATTCAAAGCGTATGCATTTTAATGCGAACAAATAAGTTAAACATACACATACAGCCCACTACCTATCGAACATTGTGGTCCTTAGAGCCGGATAACTTATCAGTAGTAATATCCCTAGGACATTGATAACAGACGAGATAATTTCATGACAATCGAAAGTGCTGTTACCAAGCAACGAGCTTGAGAAATTTGTCATGAAATTATGAGGCATTCATCGATGTCCGAGAGATATTCGGCGGATAATTTTTCGAAAAAAAAAAATCATAACGAAACATTTATTTATTAAAAGTGCAGTTAGTGAAAGTACAATTATTAAATTTAAGTTAACATTAGATTCGTTGCTGTTCTCTACTATAGAAGATCTATTACCACGCATAATATTTATAATCTTGTTGTGGTGTATTGAAACGTGAAATTTTGAAATTTATTTGGATGAAGTTGTCAAACTCGATCGTGTTGTCATAGGGATTGAAAATTGCACTGAATGCAATTATCAGTCTAATGTTGACATGATTGGGTGAAATTGTTCCACATGACACAAAATGACGAAATTTGAATGGTTGTTAGAACAGTCGAAAAATTATCGGCGTAAATAAACGTTTTAAAACTAAAGTAATTTAGTACGCGAAACGTACCGAGAAGGTCCAACTGAAGCTAAGCAAGGTTGCCTAGTATCCAAAGTGGGTACCTAAGTCCTTTTTTTCTAATTTATTCCTTCAAAACTAAAAATAGTTTTATTCATTGTAAAAACTTCTTGAATGATTTGGAAGCGGGGTCACGGTCTGGAATTCGTATTTCAGAAAACCTGATTCATAATCTAGATGAAGAAGCTTATAAAATATTAAAAGAGTTAGAGTTAGATGATTTAGTTGATGAGGATGAATTAGAAACTTGGTATAACGAACGCGAGGAATTTTAGAAATCTTTTTATTACGAATTGGCCAGCAGCAAACGATTACAATCTAAATTTTCTTGGAATAATACAGATTTGTCAAATAACAGGTCACAGTCTGACAATGAAATGGGTAGTCAAGTACACGAGTTCAATGGGTTTTGTCTTCCGCCAGTTGAGGTACCAAAATTTAGTGGTAGTCTGTAAGTGCTATCTCCGCAACGAAGGTTGGCAATCGGCATGGCTATTCTGACCTTCGAGTCAGCTGCTCTGAACAATTGACTTGAGCTGCAACCAAACCACTCTCTCAGGTTCGTTCAACCAGGAAACGCTTCTTTTTCATTCGCTTCTCTTACCCTCTATTTTTCCTTGAATTATGAGTCTCAAGTTGCTGTATCTTTCGCCTCTCATCACATGTCCGAGATATTGCAGTTTCCTTTCTTTTAGTGTATTTTTCATTTTCCTCTCTCTGTCTATGCTCCTTAACACTTCTGTATTCAAAAAATTTTATTTCAAATCCTTTATAAAAGGTATAAATAAAATGCCCAAACGGGCTATAAAGGATTTGAAATAAAAATGTTTGTGATATATGGTATACAGCCAGCTACAGGAACTTAGTTTCCTAGTGGACTTCTGTATTCGTGACTCTATCTTCCCATGGAATCATTAACGATCTTCTAAATGTCCACATTTCAAACGCGTTAAGTCGATTTATTGTATTCCGGTTTAATGTCCATGATTCAGCTCCATAGTAGAGTACACTGTGTACGTAGCATTTAATTAGCCTTATTCTGATGACCAATGTCAGATCTTTGTTTCTGCAGTTTAATAGTTATTTTCTGTATTTATCGTTCTCTCAAGTAAGTATATATTTTTACTCTTTCAATCTGCTGGCCGCCTACCGTTAATATTTCGTTTGTATTCGTTCTTGCTAATTTCATGAGTTTGGTTTTTTTATGTTAAGAGAAAGTCCGTATTCTCCACTATATCTTAATATTTTGTTCATTATTCTTTCTAAGCCTTCCAAGTTGTCCGCTATTATGACTGTATCATCGGCATACCTAATGTTGTTAATTAAACTTCCGTTCACTTTTATGCCAACTGTCTCGTTTACCAAAGTTTCTTGTATGATTTCTTCAGAATAAGCATTAAACAATAACGGCAATAGTATGCAATCTTGCCTGACCGCTCTCCTTATCTCCAATTCTTCCGACACTACTCTTCTAATTTTCACATTTGATCGTTGGCTGTAGTATAAATTTGATATCAATATCAATGTTACAGCCCTCACATCCAGATTCTAATTTTTGAGTTGTTTGAGTGAGAATTAATTGTTGAATTTTTATATTCTGTATCTCCCTTTTTAGTTTTTGTGTAGCATTATTAAGTGTCCGTGCTTGTGATCCTAAACATGTAAATTTAGTCCAGGCGGGATTTATTTTGAATTGGGCATTTTCCATAATAATCACGATATGCGCCAGTCGCAAACCTTGTGCTTAGTTTTTTATTTAACATTTGAAACAAATATTTGTCTATAACTTGGGAGATATTGCTCCGGCATTTAAAAATTATAAAAGATAAAAGTTTCGTTTTTCAATTTTACATTATATTTAACTAGCTATATATTAAAAATTTAATGTTTATTGTTTAAAAAATAGCAACAATTGAGAAAAAGTGCAAAAATGAAGTTTTATCCTTTAAATTAATACATAGGTCAGAAAATAAAGTTAATTTAAAACTTTTGCGTGTGATGTCACATACTTATGACGTCAGAGACATTGTAGTGATCCTTGTTGACAACAAACTTGTGCTGGCAGCACTGCCAAAATATGCCGAAGCGAAGTTTACCGAATAGTTCGAATATTTTTTGCGATGTTGCCTAAGTCACGAACTTATCAATATATCTACAGATTTTTACTAAATTTGAGGTCTGGATAAAATATATTTTTCAAATAGTCTATTAAAATAACCACATTATAATTTGTGTATAAGATTTTCATATTGATTTCCAACTTAACAATCGAAATGATAACACGTAAAACAATTCATATCAAACTTATCCATCCTTTTTGCTTTGAATCTAATAATTTAAAAAATAGTAATTAATTTTATAAGCGCTTATAGCACTTTTTTTTATTAAATCTGCCAATTTACTAATGTTTCATAAATATCTGTATTTCATTAGGTGCCGTAAGTATTTAAAAGAATATTATGTTGAATAGGTATGTTATTTTTTATTCTTTACTACAATCTTAACATTTTAATGATTTTAATTGACGTCATAAAATTGTGATTTGAATTTTATTTTAAACATAAATGTTATTTTTGTTGACATTGAAATATAAAAAACCGTATGTATAAGGTGTTTTTTAAAACTGTTTTTGGATTACTTAATAAATTTTCAGATTTTAACTCACATACTACTGATTTTTAGTAAGTAGATCGTGGCACCACTGGTCAAGAACGAACGTTTTATAAAATTCAACCAATGAGGAAGTCAAATTTAACTTCAAAGTTAGGGTAGAGAATTTTTTTGTTCCAAACAAAGTAAAAATGTGGTTAAAGTTACATAGTGTGTTAATATATTTTAGTGGCAAAGAACTAGGATTTGATAGTGGTACTTTTTTAGTTATTAGTTCATAGAAAGCTACGAATTTTCTGTTGTGTTTCTGTCCTAATCAAAAAGTCGCTTGCCAAAATGGACGAAGTTCGAGCTCCTATCATTTACAACCAGGGTTCAGTGTGTAGCGATTCAAATGGTGATGATGTCTCAAGAAATGACGGTATGTTTCAAACTACTAGAAAATGTTTACTTATTAATTTAAATTGTGTATATTATTAGTTATATGTTAGGTTATGTTGACTACTTCAAGGTTAATATGACCAATAAGTTCACATGACTATTTTTTCTTTAAATTAATGTTTCCCTTTTATTTCCTAGTGTCTTCTCAATCGAATTTAAGATTGTGCCTGGTTGGTAGTGTAGCTAGTGATTCAGATGTTTACAATGTGGCTCAATCTTTTGCTCTTCCTATTGTGACTTCAAAAGATGGACAAGAGTATACTCAGGATGATAGCTGTACCACCATATATGTAGTCAAAGAATTTGATGGAGACGTCTTTAATGTATTATTCAAGTATGTATCTTTTATATTGACATCAAATTCACAATAAAAATACTAAAATAGTAATACCAAGCTTATAATCTAGCATGAGCTGTATATTTACTTGGATGTTTTGGCATTAAGTAAGCATTATTTATAACAGGCAAGAATAATGAGTTACTATGCTTAATTAACTAGACAAAAAATATGATATTTAGAAATCAAGTTAAAATATGGATGCAGTAACCTCTCTTATAACAGGTCATGTTTTAGCTGGCCCCTGCTTTAGAACATTTTCAGTTTAAGTTAGAACAAACAGTATGGGGCTACAAAAATATAGTTATACTAATATAGTTTAACACATGTTAACGCTTCAATTCTATGAAACAAATTTTTATTGCATTTGTCATCTGTTGTATGACTACATAAGTGAAAAGATAACAAAAACAAGACAAAAGGTAAATAACTGTTAACACTAGTAATCCTTCTAAAATTATGTGGTAACAAAAGATGATAGTACAATATCCAACTCCAGGAACATTACCTTCATAACATAGTTCATCAAATTCACTTTTATATACATTTAAAATTAGGAAAATATGGGTTACCAGTGAAAAATTGGCCTCAAATATTTTTAATTCAATTAATAGTAATTAGTTTTTGACAAATAATTTATTTCATTCATTTATTTTTTAAATAAAATATGCTGCTCATGACATAATGCATGTTTTTTATATCAAATTAAAGCTAATTTTTTTTAATATGTTGAAAATGTGAGGTATTAAACATAAAGTAAAATAGAGTTAGGGGGCAACAACACTGGTTTGACAAATGGTAATATGTATATTATTATAATCTATTGACTCATGCTTTAAAAACTCACACAACTGACACTTCAAACCAGTAGTGTTGCTGCGATGGTTTTTCTGTTTTAGGTTAGTGTTTGGAATCAATGCATCAATATATAAACTGATGCTGAAGACATTTCTTTAATTTATTTATTTATCAACAGGCAAGCGCCCAATTAAAATACAATGTCAACATTATTGATAAATTACAGAAGATTCTTAACGTAACCTACTTAAATTAAATTTAAAAATTTTAATCATACAAAAAATAAAAGTAGGAGCATGAAATAGCAAACTTGTAACAAAAAATGAACAAAACACAAGGACATCAAGTTATCACACACAGTTCTTAAGCTGAGCTTTAAATTCTTTTGGAGTACTATACCAATCCAACCTTTGGGAATATTGATTAGCAAACCTTGGTGTTCTAGACATGAAGGAAGTGTGTCCATAGTTTGTGCTATGGGGTCTAACATAAAAGGATTGATTTAGCCTTGTTTGTCTTCTGGGAACATGGAGATTAATTTTTTCCAATAGTTGAGGACCTTTTCCAATAGTGAGATCTTTGTGCATTCGTTGGATTTGGAGAGAAATAATGTTGAGGGACCTTTCCATATTTGAATAGTTAATTTCTTCAATCCTCTGGTTTTGTTTAAATGCAGCAAATTTTAAAAATTTGTGTTGAACTCTCTCAATAGCTTGAATATGGGTGTTATAGTGAGGAGACCAAACACATAAACAGTAATCTAGGTGGGGTCTCACAAGTGAACAATACAAAATTTTTATGGATGGGATATTAATTATCTTTAATACAACATTTGATAAACCCTAAAAGTTAAAGTGATTTTGAGACAACAAATGAGATATGGGGGATGTAGGATAAGTTGTAATCAAGTACAACACCTAGGTCTTTTATCTGAGATACAGAGTCGAAAGGGCAACCATTAATAGTATAGATATGATTTGTAGTTTTATTCCTACCAAAAACCATTAAATGAAACTTTAACATTAAGTTCCATTCCTTACCAATAGCTCAACCGATTCAAATCATACTGTAGTTTTTGATAGTCACCATCATTCTTAATTTTCAAATATAATTTTAAATCGTCAGCCAACATTAGGAAAGAAGCAAAGAGGAAACTTGGAAAGTATCTCAAACAATTCAAAACCCTGAACATGTACTATTTGTATCCTTTCAGTTAGGTAGGATAACAACCATTCTAAAAGTTCACCCTGGATACCCAGACTCCTCAACTTATTGATTAAAATCTTGTGATTTACCTGGTCAAACACCTTTGTAAAGTTGTGTATACAGCATGAACCTGGAAGCCATCTTCAAGAGATTCTATAAGGAAATCAGTAAATTTCAATAAGTTAAGTTCAGTGGAGTGGCTAGAGATAATTCCAAATTGCTGGTAGATAAAACAGCCTTTTAAAGTTGCTGAGAAATAGTCACAGATAAGGCCATTAAAAACTTTGGGAATACAACTTAGAATGCTAATAGGCTGATAATTGTTCATTTGAGAATCTCCAAATTTCAGTATTGGGGTAATAAAGCTAGTTTATTAATATAAGTTTTCATCATTATTAATCACTTAATACATTACTTAGCCTCAAAAAGAAAATCTTTGACCAATGAGAGATCTAACCCCAAACGAAGAAATATGGCGTAGAACAAAAACAAGAGTCACTATCAAAAAAATTGCGTCATGAAAGTGGAATTGGGCAGGACACGTCGCCAGATTATCAGATAACTGATGGACAAAACGTGTTTTAGAGTGGAGACCAACCAAGAAGCAATATGGAGCAGAGGACGCCCACCAACTAGATGCATTGACAACCTGAAATGTGTTAACAATAACTTAATGCAATCCGCACAAGAAAGAGACAGATGGAAAAAGCTGAGAGAGACCTATGTCCAGCAGTTGACACACACAGGTTGTTGAATGTATTATCCATTTTACTACCATTTGGATATTATACATAACTATTACAAAGTTTAAAGTTGATCCAGCAATCCTTCAGAAATACTGACTACTTCCATATAGCATCAATAGTACTCTTTTCCACCTTAGGGCATTTTTAAATAAATATTTATTACTCTCAATAAGTAAGTTAAATTCATTGAAATTATTTATTTTGATTTATTCAGAGATATAAATAATTGATAATACCTTTGTTGAGTTAGTGGTGAAATTGTACTTATATTTGTATATATATTTTTTGAAATTGTACTGTACTTATTGTGCATTGGCTGTACTAATTATTAATAATTATTATCTGGACAATTGAATAGCCTTTAATTGTCTCTTATGTTTAAAGGGATTATATGAAGGATTTGAACAGATTTGTTAAACCTATCTGACTTCATGAAAACTCCAATAAGTCATTGCCATTCTGCCAGAATAAGTTTACCATCTCTACTATTTCTCCTCTAGTCTGATACAATCTATGGCATGTTTTTTGATATTGAGAATGTAGTTCTGAAGCTATGTTCTTGTGGCATTGTAAATTAATTACTATTAAACTGATCAAATATTAAACTTTGTATTTTGAGAACGATTTCCGAAGTGGAAATTGAAACGTCAATAAACATATTTGTATCTTTAATTGTGGCTTATTCCCAGTTTAATAGTAATTAATTGAGAATGTAGTTGCCTTCACTCATGACCGAGTAAGTTATTGTTCAGTTGTCAGGAATGAAGAAAAAAACAAGAATATATGGTTAACAGGAATACAAATAAATATAGAAAACCAGAAATATTACATCTATTGTCTGTACCATTCACCTAGTGCAAGTCATGCGGAATTTTTGGAGGAGTTGGATGCGTTTTTAGATAGCATTGAGACTGATGCTATCTTTGTGATATTGGGAGACTTTAATATAGATTTGGCAAGTATAAACTTTTACTCTATGAAATTAAATGATATTATTATTAAAAATGGTACCTATCAGCTAATAAACGAATACACAAGGATTACAAAATCGACATCTACTAGGATTGACCTAGTACTTACAAATCAAAAAGACATTAGTTGCAAGGTGCTCCCAACTCCAAAGATTACAGATCACTCGATAATTGTAGCTGATCTATGTAGAAACAATGAGACGACACTTACAAAAACCTATAGAAAGTACAATATAATGGATGTGACAGGATTTCAAATGAAACTTATGGATATGCAGTGGCCGTCAAGTTCCTCTATAGATGTAAGTAACAATGCTGATATTCTAATAACTAATGTATTGTCTGCACTCGATCAGTTTGCTCCAGAAAAGTCTATTAATACGAAGGATGTTTGGGGAAATAAATTATGGTGGAATGAAGACATTGCGAATGAAATTAAAAAAAGAGATCAATATTACAAAAACGCTATATTTACTAAAACTGATACTGACTGGGATGATTTCAAACAGCAAAGAAATAGAGTCGTAGCATTAATCAGAATTACCAAACAAAATTATTATCAGGAAAAAATAGATGATTGTAAGAACGACCCAAAACGAATGTGGAAAACATTAAAGGAGCTTGTAAACGGCAAAAAAAAACCATGAAGCTAAAAGTGAAATAATATTTGACGGTGGGGGGGGGGGGGGTTACTGGTAAAGAGATAAGTGAAAGATTTAATATATTTTTTCTAGACAGTGTAAAAGACATAGCAGATAGCATTATTTCAAACAAAACCCACCAAGAAATTTGTAGTTCAATAAATGTCGACTGCAAAATGGAAAAATTCAAAATGTTAGAAATGAAAGATTTAAAAAAACAAATGAAAGAAATGAAAAACAAAGAAAGTAATGTTGATGGTATTACAGTTCAAATTTTAAAGAGTTCCTTTGAAGTAATAGCCGACAAAATTTTGCATATTATAAATGGTAGTCTAGAAAGTGGCGTATTCCCAAGTAAATGGAAGAGAATTCTGGTTGTACCAATTGAGAAGGTTCATGGAACTGTTAAGTGTGAGGAATTTCGACCCATAAATATGGTACCACCCATACGAAAAACTGCTGGAATTATGTGTAAATGATCAAATAGTGGAGTACTTGGAAAGCAATAATGTGTTAACTAAATTCCAAGCAGGGTTTAGGAGAGGAAATTCCTGTGAGAGTGCAATGCAGACGGTTTTGTTTGACTGGAAGGGTGCGCTGGAGTGCGGGAAAATGATTGGTGTGGTTTTCTTAGACTTTAAACGTGCATTTGAAACCATAAACAGACAACTGCTATTGAGAAAGATGGAAGGGTATGGCTTTGGTGAAAAAATTATAAAGTGGTTTCAAGAATATTTGACTGATAGAACACAAGTGACAAAATATGGTGCCATTTCATCGGCTCAGAAGTCTCTGTATGGTGTGCCACAGGGAACTGTGTTAGGTCCTACTCTTTTCATACTGTATATAAATGATATTGTTCATGTTGTTAAAAAGTGTAAGGTACAGTTGTTTGCCGATGATACTGTGATATATGCAATAGGGGATAAGGTAGATGAAATAATCGATATAATAAATGAAGAGATATGTAATATATTAAAATGGCTCGATAATAATTCCTTAAGTCTTAATGTAACTAAAACAAAAATGATGCTTATAAAGAATAAAAATTTTAAATTAAATAACATAATAAAAGATGTAAAAATTAATAATATTGCTTTGGAGAGAGTGGTTCAGTATAAGTATTTGGGATGTATTATAGATGAAAATTTAAGTTTTGTTGAACATTTTAAGTTTGTTACAAACAAAATAGCAAAAAAAATCTGCATTGGGAAGAATGTCAAAAAATTTAAGTTGCTGGTCTAGGTTGACCATATATAAATCGATTATTGCTCCCCATATCTATTTTTGCTCTACATTGCTGTTTTTAATGAATGCTTCTCAAATGAACGTACTGCAGAAAAAACAAAATAAAGCCTTAAGGATAATATTAGGATGTAGTGTATACACTAGTAGAACTGACATGCTAACAATGGCAAATGTTTTAAGTGTAAGACAGACAATTGTATGTAATAGTATGATTTTTGTTTATAAAATGTTAAATGGTCTGATACCTGTGCATTTGTGTAATAATTGTACCTTTGTTCGAGATGTACATGAACACAACACACGTTCTAGAAATAACTTTTATCTGAATAGGGTCAACACTAATTTTGGTCAGAACAATCTTTTTTATAGGGGATTAAAGCAATACAATGAATTACCGGAAAACATTAAGGCTTCTGGAAACTTAGCTCAATTTAAAAATTTATGTAAGATATATGTTAAGCAAAGCATTGTGATTTAATTTTAAGGGTATAAATTGATGTATTTATATGTATATTTTTCTAGCCATGTGCTATTAATAAAGATTATTATTATTATCCAGATTTAGCCATACGGCTCACACTCCCTCTAAGGGGAAAATTCACTCATCCCAGATACCTATGGTATCAAAAGGATTGAGCTCTGGTGGGACTCTTTCCGTGTTATCGAGCCCTAGGTGACTTGGTATGCTGGAGTATCTCCCAAAAATTTTCGTACACATCGGGATGTTGAGAGTAGTACAGCTTTTTGCATGGTCTTGTAGAGATGTTCATTCAGACCTAGTTTTTTTATATTTTCTAGGAGGTTCTTTGGAATGACTCCAGTAGTAGAGAGAATAATAGGTATTGTCTGGGTACTTTCCATTTTCCACTGTCTTCGTATTTGAATTTCCAAATCCCTGTACTTGGCGATTTTTTCGTTCTGTTTAACACGAAGATTATTGTTGTTGGGTATCGCCACATCAATTAATGTTGTTTGTCTCTTTAGTTTATTGACTAGTATGAGATCTGGTCTATTATGTGCCACTGTTTGGTCTGTGAGCACCGTGCGATCCCAGTATAGCTTGTAGTTGTCATTTATTTATTATTTTTATTATTATTATTATTATGATGCTAGCCATGAGCGATAAGCCAGAAAACCATTTTGCTATAGATTGAGTTATGCATAGACTTGTTTTTGGCACCACTACCAATTTGCTATTACCATAATTTACATGCGGTCAATCAAGGGGTAGTAGCAGATTTTGTTCTAAGCTACTGTTCGTCTTATGAAATTAAATGATCAAGCAATTTGTATTTGATTATTATATATGCAATGTTATTACCAACTTGCGAATATCTTCTAAGATATTATTGTTTAGATCAAAACAAAATACAATAATCCTTATTATTCTAAACTGTGTAAAACTAATTTGTCCACAACCTAACCTCAAATGCTCAAACTTCTCAAAAGATTAAAACAATGTGATTAAAAGATTAAAACATTCATTTGGCAGGTACATTAATACATGTTTTGATTAATAATTCAACAAACTGATAACAATGTATTATATTTATTCATTTATTTTGTTAGATCTAAGCAGCAGATACTGGGGTCTGTGGCCCTTAAGCAGTTGGCTGTCAAAAAGGAGAAAATTCCATGTAATACTAGGCCTCTGTATAACTTAGCTATGACTGGAGTTATTGTCTGTTTCACAGGCTTTCGAGAAAAAGAAGAACTGGTAAGTATATTATTAGTTATATTAGTAGGCATATTAGAACATCTATACCTTGGATTACTTCAGAAAATGAGTTAGGGGAAGACTTAGCAGTAGACCTTTGTTAATGACATTTTATAAAGGTAATTTAATATCAGAGTTTATATGTTGTGTTCTGAAATTGTTTGCTCTTGAGCTTTCGTCTGCAACTGAGGTAGATGTCAAGATCGATGCTAAGCTTTGTTAGCAATAGTAAGTTTGCTAGAAGCTGACCTATTGTGCTGAAGGTTTATATGTAGGACCCTGATTGGTATCATTATGACTTATTGCGGCGGACATCGCGGCCATGTTCTCAGCTAATGTGTGTATGTTTAAACCTTAATTACACTTGTCCTATTACCCTATATATCTATAGGATGTTACCTATTCGCTGTTGGGGTGCTCCTTATATAGAATCAGTCTTCCCCGCCTATTATCTCCTGCATGGAGTACTAGAGAACTCAGACTCGGAAGAGTGATCTATACTATCTTTACCACAAGTTATCACTGGCACAGACAGTCTATACTCGCATCACCACAAGTTGTGTGAATAGGACAACATAAATTATGTAACCTGACATAATTTGCAAAATATTAACAAGTTTGGGCAACTGAAGAGTTTTGGCCTTTATCAAATTTTTTGACAGTCAATGTAAAACATAAAATTAATAACAGTAAGAAATTTGTCGGAAAGATCAAACAATGATGCTGAATGTTTGCCGTGGAAGATAAAACAAGGCTAATCAAATTCCCTGTCTTTGAAAATCAAAATCACGATACAGTATCTTAAAGATTAGTTTCTCTGTTGACAAAGGAGGCCAAGGCAACCACACATTTTAAGATTTATCAGAAATATTTGTCATTAGTCACTGGTCTAAAAACATCGCGCAGTATTACTAAAATCTCGTGGATGTTAATTATTTATATTTGAAAATACTTGTTGCATTTCGGAATTTCTTTTATTGAATAATTAGTATATACATTTTTTTTTCGCAGGCAAAATTAGTAACTTTATTACATCACATGGGAGGATCTATAAGAAAAGACATGTCTTCCAAAGTGACTCATTTGATAGCAAATGTTTCTGGTGGCGATAAGTACCAATATGCAGCCACATTTCGTGTTCCAGTGATGAATCCTAGTTGGGTAGTTGATAGTTGGCAACGTCGGGAAGACTTAAACTTTACTGGAATTATGGAGGAACATGTTGTAAGTATTTGTCCTTGATTCAAAAATATTAAGCTTAGTCGCACAATATTCCCGCGATAATTCTATTTCTATTGTTAATGGGTAATGTTTGCCGGTAATTATATAGACACTTAACATGAAAATAAACAATGATAAGACCAAATTGGTGACCTTTTCTTCATCTCAGAATGTTCTAATACCTAACATCTTGAATGGTAAAATCTTGGAACAAGTAAACAAAATAAAGTACCTGGGTTACTGGATAAACAGCCATACAAATCAAAGGACTACTATGTGACCCACACATTAACTTAGGACTTAGGATACCATGTGATGTTGGAAACTAGTTTGTTAGGACATTCTGACTGGCATGATAGCAGAAAAACCTTTTTAACATTTTCTTACAAAACAAACTTCTACAAACGAAGACTATGTTTTATTTGTATTTCACCTACATGCTGACTGCCTTAACATATGTAAATTTATTCCTCCTCACCAACCATAAAGTTCATTACATATCTATTACTGGATCAGGGTCTTGGATGTACTGTTTATCGATTATAGAAGTTGTGTGTTTGTGTAGTAAGTAGGTTAACACAGGACGCCACGTGATCCCTATGGGGATCACACTGCCATTTGAACTTGGGTACATGTGATCCCCATAGGTGCCATACGACACTGTTGTAATTCTGTATGTGTGGCTCGTATTGGGATCATGTTTCAATGTATTTTGGAGAAAATGTTGCCGTGGTACCAGGCTACAACTTGATCTATTGATCTATTTTCTGATAGCATGTGTTTTAAGCTTACAATGGTCTACAGAATTTTGGAAGAAAAATATGCATAATTTAGTTAAGATAGTTAATTGTTTTTTATTATGGACCAAACAAAGAATCATAAAATTTACAAAAACAAACTATGAAAATCGAACTAACAAAACTAGCAATACAATACTTATAATAAAACTAAACACGTCTTAGCACATTCAACTCATGCATGTGACCTAATTTAAGGATGTTTTTCATTAAAACAAGAAAGGCAGAAAGAATTTGTCACAAGATGGACATTTAGTGATGACTTTTTTGGTGTGAGCTGCAGCATATTCTTGTTCACGCTTAAGACGTTCATAAGATGAGTATTTCTCATGAACAGTCTGGCTGCCAGATTGACACTGGTATACCAATTATCAGTTGTCAAATACCTTCCAGAATCAAGAAAAGGGGCCATCAAATAAAAAACAACACTAACAGATACGTTTCCTGTCCTTTCTAGATCTCTCCCAGTGTCTACATGTACTGGCGAAAATGAAGCTCTCATCAATGCAGACATGTTTCGCAGGGACATATGCGTTTTGGAAGGAATTTTTTATGATACTGAGAATAGATGAGATTTTATGTAAACAATCATTGGACTGCCGGTCGTTGTCATCCGCGAAATGTATCATTCTCATAAAAATTTCGAATCTATTTCTCCACACAACATGGTTTGTTGACCAGTACCAATTGATTTTACTGTACTTACAAAGTCCCATCCATATAGAAGTCCAATAGTGTTTTTATTTCACTCACAGTTGTGTTTTTCCATGCATTGTACTAGAGGTACTATTTGGATTAGCTCCCAATACTTTTTCAGCATATTTATTGATCTGTTACAATAATATCCAGAACGATGTTGGAAATGAAGTGTAGAAAGTATGCAGCTGGGTGCCGACCTTGAAGTTCCAACAAGATATCATTTTTGAATCCAACATTTTCTCCAGGAGTGAATTCAAAGTGTGGTGGGTCATTCTCAACAGGCCTCTCAGGTGAAAGTCAAGGCTTCTTCTTCATGAAGAACTGGTTCTGCTGCTATTTCTTCAACTTGTGCAAATTCTGACTCCTCTGCAAGCTGTTCAACTCAAGAATGAGCTGGTTTCTGTGTGAATTGTTCAACTCGTGAAGGACCTGGTTTGTGTGCGAGCTGTTCAACTCTGTTGAACAATGATTCAACAATGTTGAATGTCAAAATCCGGATCTGCATCTGAATCATCTATAGATTCAAGACTATCATCACTTTCCGCAATTAACCTCTTGAGTTCCTCCTGTGTCAACGGTTTTGGTCTGCTAGATTTTCTAGGTATTTTTCGGAATTCTGTTTAAATATTAGATAACTTTAAATGTTTATAGCTTTATTTAGATGAACGAATTGTTTCCTGTGATCACTCTCTGAATCAAAAGAAACAGAATGACACCAAAAGCGACACTACATACTCATTTCAGCTGAAAATATCTGTGATCTCCATGAGGATCACGCGGTACACGGTCAATTCAAATTTAAGTTGTGGTACCGCGTGACCCTCATGGAGATCACAGGAAAATTAGGAATAACTCAAAAACAAAAGCAGATATATTTGTAAAACAAAAATAATCATGATCTCTGAAGGCAAGTAGATGATATTTTTAATAAAAAAAAAATAATGGAACATAGACCGAAAAAATATTGTCGACACTTGTACCCATCTTGTATCTGGTAACAAAAGCGTAAAATGAGGCTGGCGTCCAATGTGTTAATAAACAATTTACACAATCATTTCTAACAAGATAATTATTTAAAATTTCTTGTTCCCAATAAGGAAGATAAGATAAGATTTAAATGCTGTTTGGCCAACTATTCCATACTGAGCAGAATCATGGAGACTCAATTTCAACCATGAGCAAAATAGAGGTATTTGAGATGTGGACTTAAAACTATTGAAAATTCCCTGTGGTGACTATATAACAAAGAGACCGGTTCATTTTATTTAACGTGTTTAATTTAAATATCTAATATTTCCTCATTTTATTATATGTAGGTACTTTATAAATTAAAAGGTTTTACTTAGTTATATATTTCTTTATTACCTAATTAATTTGTTGGTAAATTTTTCGGTTATATATAACTACAATTACTTTAACCTTCCAGGCCAAACATAAACTAAAACCTTTTCATGGAGCTCGAGTAGGTTTTGTTGGATTTGCTGAAGAAGAAGAGAAACATATGTCTGAAGTGTTACTACTTAATGGGGGTGTCGTTACCAATGTTGATGACCCTAACTGTACACATGTGGTAAGTACTTGCAGTTCAAGCATTATTATTTTTCTTTAATAGAAATAACAATCGGAGGGAATGTTTCACTGTAATTATAAATAGTTGTTTTGAAAATCATAATAAGAAAATATGTCATTATAATAATAAAATAGAATAATAAGAAAACCTGTCTATCAGTCAGTGAAAGTAGTAGAAGAACCGCATGTAAATTTTTCTTTAAGTCACAATAGTGGTCATTTTTTCATTTCAAACGTCTAGTTGTGGGAAATTAGCTGCATATTTTGATTCTACACAAAATAAAATAAATTACATGCAAATAAAAAATTCTCAGTGGTTGACTGTATATAGTTTAAAAAAATTACGATGAAGTAAAAGCTTTTAGTGTAATAATTGTTAAATTTCGAAAAATTAATAAACATGACGATGATGAATAAATGTGAAAATATATAAATGGATCACTTATAATTTTCCAAACGTTTTCGGTCCTTTTAGACCAGTAAGTAATCCCACTTTAATAAACAAAAGGGGTAAAATTTGGACATGGTTATATAAAAAAAATGTGCTATGATTATTTACTTGAGCATTTACAAATATCCATTACCAAAACGATATAAAAACCTTTGATTTACATTTTAAAATGATATAAAAATACAAAAATATATTAGCCTAAGACATCACTGCATGATTACTACGTTTATGACGTAGTTAATCAAACTCACTATACTCTTTATTTTCACTAATTTTTTAATCTTTAAGAACTCACTATTCTTTTATAATAAAGTAATTGATGAAGGAAAGATTCCTCAAGAATAGTACATCTCCGAAGTCATTCTACTATTCAAGAAAGGAGACAAAGCAAACATGGAAAATTACCGATCAATATCCTTGCTATCACATATGAATAAATTACTAACTAAAATCATATCCAACCGCCTAACACATAAGCTCGATTCTATCAACCTATCGAGCAGGCTGGATTCAGAAAAAATTTTAGTACCATAGACCACTTGCACACCGTAAGAACACTAATGCACCGAGTATAATGTTTCAATTATTAAGAAAGATATACTAACATAATTAAAAACATATAAGACAAGGAGACACCATCTCTCCCAAACTATTTACCCTTGCTCTAGAAGACATTTTTAAGAAACTAGAATGGAACAACAAGAGTATCAACGTCGACGGATCATACTTAAACCACTTGATATTCGCAGATGGCACAGTTTTAATAGCCGATAATATCCAAGAACTAAATGATATGTTACAACAATTAAATGCAATTTCAGGAGCGGTAGGCATAAAAATGAACTACAGTAAAACAAAAATACTGAGCCGAGACCAGACGAATATAACATTACAAAATCATACCATAGAAAATGTTGAACATTATGTATATCTAGGTCATGTCATCAAACTAGGAAAACCAAATCAAGATGCTGAGATTAAAAGAACACAACTGATATGGGGTGCTTTCGGCAAACTAGCATATATCTTGAAAAACACCTCCATCCCTGTAAACTTAAAGAAAAAGGTCTATAACACATGCATACTACCAGTTTGTACCTACGGCTGGAGACAGTTAGTAGCCCTTACCAAAAAATCTGCTAAAAAATTAGAAACAACGCAAATAGCAATGCAACGAATCATGCTTGGAATACCATTGAGAGACTAGATTAGAAACACCGAGATAAGACGTAGAACGAAGATTAGGGATATTGTGGAAGAAATAACAAAAATGAAATGGCGCTGGGCAGGTCACGTAGCCCGATATAATTACAACAGATGGACACGGAGAATTCTAGAATGGAGACCAAGGACGACAACAAGAAGCATGGGAAGACCTCAAAAAAGATGGGTAGATAACATAAGAGCAGTGGCAGGCAAACAGTGGATTAGATTGGCGCAAGATGAAGAAATGTGGAAGCAATTGGGAGAGACCTACATTTAGGAGTGGATGGAAAATGGTTGACAAAGAAGAGAGAAGAAGACTATATACTCAGAATATACCAGGAACCTGATATCGTAAAACATATTAAGATAGGACGTCTGAGGTGGATAGGGCATGTAATGCGGATGGAACAAAATGACCCATATAGAAAAATGCTACTTGATAGACCCATTGGTCAGAGAAGAAGAGGAAGACCCAGGACAAGGTTCCTTGATAACATCGATGAAGATATGAGAGATATGGGAATACATGCTTGGCGGAGGAAGGCGATGGATAGGGACAACTGGAGAGAACTTCTTGAGAAGGATAGGTCCTACGCAGGATTGTAAAACCAGAATGATGATAATCAAACTCAAAATTCAAATTCACAAATTTCAATTAATAATAATTAATTTTTAATAAAAGTTTTATTTCATTCACTTATTTTTTAAATAAAATATGCTGCTTATTACGTATATGCATGTTTTTATATCAAATTAAAGCTAATTCTTTTCTTAATATGAAAATGTAAGTTTGTATATATTTCGTCTATAGTATTACCTTTTCTGAAATTGTGAAATTCATGGAATCGTTTTTAAATTAGATACATTATCTCCACCTGATATGTTACTGTTACTACTACTTTGACTTTGACTACTGTAATGACATTTCTTGACGATATAACTTTAACATTGCATGTTCAAATTTTTAAAATTTATATGACGGACAAATAAATTTTGATTAAAATGGCAAGTGCTTGTTATTATATACCTGTTATTATTATAACAGATTAAGCTCAGTAATTTCACAATATGTCGATTATATAAAATACTATATTTTGTTTTTTATTATTTGCATATATACTCATGGTTATGCAGTCTAGGTTACACATTTAGAGCAGTTGTAGACATTTGTTTTTGTCAACAGAGAATGAATCAAATTCAAATTATTTCATTTTTTTTATTTTTAGACCTATTTTGATGATTTTTTTAGCATACTGTGTAAAAATTTATAAATTTTAATTTAGTATAGTGAGTTTTTTAATAAAATTTTGTATTTGACCTATTATACGGGGCTAATCGAAAGGTGGTTTTTTATTCTAACTTTAAAACATCCTGTGAAATAATTCCGTAAGTGGATTTTAGTAAAACCTTGTTTTTCGGTTACAACAATATCTTCTAAGTATAATGTTTTTGTTTCTTGGGAAAATATGGATTAGTTCATTTTTGGGAGCGAAATGACTGCCACCCACAATTTACGACTTTTCCTATTATTACCATTATCTTTTGTATTAATTTGTAATACGACAATGGAGGCTATGTTGAGTGATATCGAAGGAATGTCTTATCGACATCCCAGAAGCACTGTATTTAAATAATGATTAAAAGCAACGACATGATCATGGTTTTAACCAGAGAACTACGAACACAGAGAAGCGACACGAGCCCCGAAATCCGTGTACCGTTTCTGTATACGCATGCCCGAACCTGGTTGCTTTACTGTCAAAAACACGTGCGTTTTCTTCAACTCTGGTTGTTTACGATAGTCCGTAGGCACCTGTGGTAAATACTCGACTATGCAAGTGGATTTGACCATTTATCTAATTTACTTAGTAGTCAAAAGTTTATAGTTTATAGTTATAGTTAAAATATATAAGTTACTTATATAAGTTTATAGTTTATAGTTAAAAGTTTAATTTATAGTATTTAAAATGTTTACTGGTTATTGTTGTGCGTTTCGCGGATGTTCATCTGTGACAGGAAAAGGAATAAGTTTATTTAGATTTCCTAAGAATAATAACAGGTAATTACTATTGCTTTGTAATTATTATTAGTTATTACATAATACTATTAATTTGACTTTCGATCAGTAAGCCGACGCCGACGTGTCCGTCCGAGCTCTCGTTAAGTGGAGCAATAAAAAAATAAACTTTGGTCTGCCAAGGGGTAGTTCAAAATAAAATCATTAAATTTATTGTCTCCGAAGGCTCAGGTCAAAAAATCAACAGATGTTGGCCTACTGGTGTGAAAGCGCTCGCAGACAACAATAGGAATATAGTATTTTTAGGAAATAAAAATATATAGAGGGTTTTATACACGAGAATATTTGATTTAAACGAAACAAAGAAATTCTTAAAATGCTCAAACTACAAATTGTTGGAAACATAATTAGACCGGTAATTGGGAAAATCTTAAAATTACAACAGAACAAGACTTCAAAATAAAAACATGGTTGCAAATAAACAAACTTGCATTAAATTATGAAAAAACTAAATACTCATCTACTTTTTGCTATATACAAAAGTTGTCTGTTAATGTTTAATTCGGTAAATATAAATAACAAAGATCAAATATATGGTTTGGAGTACACAACATATTTAGGGAATAAATATTTAAATGGGAATTAGGTACAAATAAAAAATATTAAAACTTTATTTGTTGTAAATTTCAATATTTAGTGACAATTTTGTGACTTACTCAGGAGAAAACTGTAAATTTATTAAGATGAGATATTGACAAAAGTTAAATACTTCATTACTTACAATATACTTAGAATATACTAATACTCTTATAGTTGTAAATAATGAAGTATTATTTATAAATACAAAAAGTTCTTTGTTTAAAATTTGTTCTGTTAAAAATTTGTAGTGCCAAAATGTGGATAGAAGCGCTTGCAAACGAGAAGATTTATTGTTAAAAATTGATATACTTTATAATAGTTATAGGATTTGTGAACTACATTTTGAAGATAATCTTGTCAAAAAAAAATAATAAAAGAAAAACATTGGTGCATGACGCAGTACCATCCAAATTTCAAAATACACGTACAATAGTTACTTCTTGATTTTTTATTCGTTTTAGTCGAATATCGTTTACTCCAATATTCGACTTTAAAGGAAAAATGTAATTTTAATAGGTTTCCAAGATATTAACAATCGATATCAATATAAAGTTTCTTGTTTCTCAGTCTCACCCAAAGAGAATTGGAATTTTTAGAGTTTGTGAAATTTTCGTGGCAGTTACAATGACTTTGTTATTTTTCGATTATATTATTACGAAAGATAATTTATTAGGAAATTCCACGACGA